CTGCTCAGCCAGCCATGTGGGAATTCTGAGCCTGCTCAGCCAAACAAAACACCCTTGCCTGCCCACTCCCAGTCCCCCCAACCCCTCGCAAACCCCAGCATTTACTCTCAGAAGGGCCTCTGTCTTCTCACTTCAAGGCCTGCTGACCAGCTGTGGACCTGGGGTGACAGGGCAGACCTGGGGAGCCAGGGGCCATTTCACCTGCAGTTGGGTCCTGTGCTCACCCCACGCACCCTGCTTACATCCTCCTGACAACTGCACAGCTGAAAAGTGCTTTTAGAGGAAATGGATCACTCATTTCATCTTCATGTCCTCAATGACCAGACCCCAAAAGAGTCCATCACTCTAGAAAGGTATAATTATGCAATCCCATTGCCTTGGAGCAGGGAGCCTCACTCCTGCCTTAGAGGCCAAAGCTTGGAGGACAATTATTGTAACTATGTATACTTTTCAAACACATTTAGGGCAATGAGACTACAATGAAAAGGTATTTGGAAGACTGCACATGACAGTGAAACCATGGAGACAGAGTGCTTGGCCCCCAGCCACCGCAACACAAGCCCTGGCCCTAGCCAAGACTGCCACTCCTGAGGTCAGAATTGGGCTGGGTCTCTGCTCAGCTAAGCCCCCAGGAGCTCCTTCCATGAAATTGCTGGTGATGTCCGAGAGGGGTAAGAAGGCTGGAGGTGGGGAGCACTGTCCGCTGCTGCCTGCACAGCCTTAGGGACAGCCTGGGGTTCAGAGGCTAATGGCCCACACCAGGGCTCCCTGCACCTGCAAACACTGGCTAGCCAGCTAATTAGTCAACATTCTCCAGATTTGCCCTTTTGTCCAGCCATGGGAACAAGTCACCCTCCAGGTATGCTTCCCAGCTGAGAAAACCCCAGTGAAATCCCTTAAGTGCTTCATCACCTCCAACTGGCTACGTCTATGGCAGGCCAAGGGGTGGGCTGCCTACCTGGGCTCTTCCTTCACCTTCTTCCCCCCTCACAAATACCATTAAGCTATAATAAAGTAGTAATGAAATTATAAAATGCCATAGTGAGGAAGATGAGAGGAAGGGCCTCAGTGGACAAGGGATCTCAAGAAATTTGAGGAAAACTGGAGGTAGATGGGAGAACAACAACTGACAAGTGCAGAAGGGGAAGAAGACACAGCCCGGGATAAAAATGCCACAGAAGAGATGTAGCTGATAGGGAACAGGTCCACAAGGCAGAACCCAGCAGGGGTTCAGGATTTGAAATTCCATAGAAAGCAGGGTGACAAATGCTACCAAAAACGGGGTGGATGAAAGAATCACTTACAGTGGGCCCCACCGTGCCACCCTCCAGCCCGGTATAAGGTCTTAGAGCCAAGCCAAAGGGATGGAGGGCAACTTTAAAGACGTCAACCCTGTCAAGATGCAGCCAGTATTAGAATGCAGTCCTTTAGGCTGCTCATTGTGCTGTATCGATATTTCAGTCAGGGGGCAAAGTAGAGTGAGGGATCCTGATCATCAAAAACAGAGTGATGTGCTGGGGTCTTCACCGTACAGGCAGCTCTGCCCTGTCACAGGAGATAAAGACCTGTCCTGGCCACTCGCCTGCCGATGCAGGGGCCGCCCTGCACATGGCACAGGCAAGGAGACACCAGCACTGGGAGTGGGGCCTCAGCCCAGCAGACACTCTGGGCACAACATCCCAAAGCAGCAGGCCAGGACCGACCGGCCCAAGGCTTGTAGGCCAGCTGATGGCACAGTCTCGGGCCTGTTAGCCTCACTCAGAGACTCCACTTTCCCCTGGTAGGAGAGCTTGCTGTCTTTGGGCAATAAAAGCCCATTCCCTATTTTCCTCTCCAGAACTCATCCCCACAGCATCCTGGATTCCGCTCTGGAGCAGGTTCCCTGCTTGGACATAAGACTTTTCCCTCTCTCTGTGTCCTCTCTTTGGTGTACTTCTATTTTTCTTTTTTAACATGCTAAAGCCTTGACAGCCCTGGGCTGTGGTAGTTGATTAAGCCCCCACTTCATCCTCACAAGTGAAAAACATACAATATAAATTATAAATGTCTGTATATTTTTGAGGGCGTGTTTGAAGCCTTCCATCATCAGCATTCATTGAGCAGGATCCCATCGAATCTCGGAGTGCTGTGCACGCATGTGCATGTGTTTTGATGGAGCAAAACCCTCTGCTAACACTCTTCCATAGAAGCCCAATACACAGACTGATTAGCAAGAATCCTCTAAGACAGCAGGGGAACCCAGCCCCATCAGCTCTGCTCCCCTTCTCTGTTCCTCCTGCTGGCCCAAATTACTTCCTAAAATGGCATTTCCATTTAACAACCCCAACTCAGAACACCTACTAATTAATTTAACTATATGAAAACAAGTATTTTGCTCTGGAAATATGTCAAAAGCATGAGCAGTTATCCTTGCGGACATACTGACAAATAAAATCATATGTAGATTCAGCCAGGGAGAACTCAGCAACCACTTTCATCATCTTCAGCACCATATCATTCTCACCTACATTTAATCAGAGTCAGCCAGGAGCCAGGGCAAAGTGCCTGGAGTATATTCTGTCATTCACTCCAAACAACCAAACCATGGGGAAGCACTGCTGTCACCCACATCTCAGAGAGGGCTCGTAGCTAGTGGGTGACAAGAGCCAAGTCACATTCCCAGGGCTGCGGACTTCGCGTGCTGCCAGCCACTGTATTCCAGGAGTCCCAACCATAGCACTTGTGTTTTTCTTTATGTACTGCCTGTGTTTTCTGTTTTTTCTTTTTCACTGTGTTAACCCTGCATAATAATAAGGATATTCTGATTTGAGACCAAAAAAGGAGTAGGTAGTAGGAGAAGCTGATCCTTTACCCCAGGAGTGGTCAAGACAGGGGTGCCCTGTGTGGCTCACCTAGCCAACCCCTAAATGTTACAGAGGGAGGACTCTGAAGAAATTTCTTACCCCAAGAGCGCTCAGCAGTCCTTAATCAGCCAGTCCATCCATCCTTCCCCAGCTTCTTCGTACTCATCAGAAATGTTAGAAAAAGCTTATCAGTCTTGATATAACCAAGCACTGTCATATCTATACTGAGAAGGGAGAAAGAAAGGACTGTAACTCAAACTCTTAATCAACCAAAGCAGACAATGTCTAAAATTCCGTAAGGCAATAGACAGCAGTATATGCATATTTTTAGGAATGTAAAGGAATATATTAGCGAAAACAGATAAAATAATTTGAAATTCTCTGGGGAAGCAAAAATGAGGGAGGCTTAAGGTCTAGGGCAAAGAGATTGCTGCATTTTTATAAGCATTTTAGCACTATTTGGCTTTTCAAATTAAGTGCCAATATTTCTTTGATTTGTAAAAAGTGACAAAACAAAATTAATGCAAGTTACCCTCCTTAGAAGTCTCTTTTAGCTTAATGGACTCCAGAAAGGAGATCAGACACAGAGGATGTGGCTTGACATGGCTTGTGGAACCTTGAAATCTGAGACACAGCAGATAGGAGATGCTGGGTATTGTGGTAAGAGCAACAGATCTTGAATCAGACCTGGGTTCCAATCCTGGCCTTGGTGCTCCCAAACTCTGTGACACTAGTCCAGGTGCATAACTGCTCTGAGCCTCTTTAGGTCAGGTGTCCAGACTCCATATAACCAACAAGCTGATTAAATGATGTAGATCCCAACCCAGTGATGCAAACTCACCTCATGGTGAGGCTTGCAGGGTTAGGGACCTGAGAGGTCTGGCCCAGGTAAGTAAGTCCCACATAAGAGATGGAGGTTTCTTGTTCATGGGCCAGACATTGAGCCTGAACCCAAGTCTCTAGATTTGAGCTGGAATTTCCTCTCCTATCCAAGCTGTTCCCAAGTTCTCTGAGACCATGGAGCACATCTTAGGTTCTGTAGACTCAAAAGACAGGAGAGTGTCCCAGGTATCATCTGCATCCCTCTGCGTGAGGCTCCCCCAGACCAGGACTCCACCTGGCCCTGGCGTGGGCCCTCTTGAACAAAGTCTTCCTTCAACTCTTCTCAATCTAAACAAAATCTCCAAATCACTTTAGCCGTAGCATCAAACCTTAGGCCCCAAAGAGAAACCTCCAGCCAGTTCTCCAGGACAGGGTCCAGCACACCACTATGTCAAGCTTGGTCACTCAAAGGATAGAGGAGTGTCCCAGGTATTGTCTGCATACCAGTCTGGCCTCAGTTGTCATTAAAGGCAGGTCCAGCCTTGGCAAGAACCAACCCAGCACAGGATGATTTTTTCCAGGCTCTGAGCATTTACAAGAGCCCCAGCCTGGCTCACCCAGGGATTGGCTGCTGACTGCCTGATTGCCAAAGGTCCCTCTTTTCCCTGCTCTCCCTGGATTCAGAGCCTGCACTTGTTCAAAAGTGGGAGAGGTCTGGCAAGTCCAAGCTCCCCTGGGACTGCCACAGGACCTCTTCATCCCCCTCCATATCCCGTGACCAAGAAGCCCATCAAACAGCATCCTTCTTGCTGGTTTGTCGGGGAAAAAAGGTAGAAGGATGCATGTGGAGCAGCCCTGGGCAGAGAGGACACAAAACAAGGCCCCAACCCAGGCCCGAGGCACTTAGTCTGAAATATCCCAAAGGTCCCAGTAAACCCAGTCTTTCGGCATAGACAGCACATGGGGATGAACACACAGACCTGCAGATTCATTCCCCCCAAAATAAAGTTTAGTTTTTGGCACTTCATACTTGGCAGGGACTAATCATAGTATCAATTCACACAATGATTAAATTAATCAAATACATTTCATTCAGGGAAAATCCCACAGAGACCAGCTTTGATTCCATGAGCCCAAGGAAAGGGACCCAAGACGGGGGAGATAACAGAGGGAGGATTAATGGGAATAATTAGCCAGTAATTAAATGTCATTTTCCTCAAGTCAAATGATTCTCATTTTATTCAAGTGTCCTGGACATGATGATGAAGATTTTTTTTTTTCATTTTGGGGAATTCATTTTTTGTCCAATGAATAACAACTCTCAATCGTCAGCTTTTAAAAGTATTATACAACTTCTAAATACCAATTTTTTTTTAAATCAGGCTGACACTGCCAACTCCCTCTGGTTTTCACCTACCAAAAGATGGCTGCTTTGCCGGGAACCTGTCTGGGAAACTGGCCTGTATATCCTGTGCCCCAAAGCATCTATTTCCTCAAAGATGTAACCAGGGGGCTCAGGGTACAAAGCCAGGCACCGGCCCATTTCCTTGGGAGTAAAGCTGATGGTGTATGTGGTCTGGCCTTCCATGGGGGTATGTCCTCGGGGGCCAGGCCAGTGGGGCTTACAGCTTTTGGTATGGATGGGTGGGTGGGGCACATAGTGGGCCCACACAGTGGTCAGGCAGTCCAAGGGTTCTTTGGCAAGGTTCAGCTGGGGAAGAGGCTTGAGTGGCTCCATGCGCATGCTGGCCCATGGCTTGTAATCGTCCTTGGTGGTGGTAGAGCTCTCGAAGCGGCCGCCCTTCTTGACTGAGAGCACTGGTCGGCAGGACTGAGCTGGGACACCCTTAGGGTATGTGTAGTGGGCTCGTACTGTTGTCAGAAAGTCCATCTTTTTTTCAGAAGGGATATAAGAGGCAGGAGCTTTGGAGAATATCTGGGGTGTTGGCCAAGCTTGGTACTTATCTCGAAATTCCGTGCTATTGGAGAAAGGCGTGTCTAGAACACAGGGCCTGGCTGAAGGTTTCAAGCTCTTGGTCAGCTCCCCCTTCAGGCCTCGGTAGGACTCTTTGTGGGTGGTAAGGCTCTCAAAGGGGATTTCAGAGGGTTTGAACTTCTCGGCCTCATACACAAAGCGCTTTTCCATAGGGTGGGCCACGTAACTCATCTTGTAGTTAGTCAGGTCCTCCAGGGGGATGTTACAGAGCTTGGGCACAGCCGGAGGCTTGCAGCTCATGGTGTTCACTACGCCCTTCATGCAGTAGTCATCCTGGTGTGTGGTTCTACTATCAAACCTAGTTGATGCTGGCCGGTAGCTGTGTTCTGGACGAAGAAGTTTTCGTCTTGGTTGGCTCCAGGGTAAATAATCACCTGAAAATAAGGCAGAAGTGGCAATTACTTATAAATCAAGTCCAGTCCAACTCAACTTGCATGTATTCCTAGGGGCTCCAAACCACCAGTCTCCAGTGAGATATTCTCTGAGACAAAAGAATCAGTGATCCCTGCCATCATCTCAACCAAGGGCTTGACATTTCAACTTTACGTATTTGTGGGTTATTGTGCGGAACAGACAAGTTTACAGGAATCTCATCGTATCACACAATGCTGTACCCAGGGATTTTAGAGGGTCCACAGCAGTGGGAGGATCTGGGGAACTGATTCCAGCTGAGGAGTCTAACCATTGGCTTACCCCTGTCCATGAACAGTTCCATTCCCCTATGGGGAAGGTGTCCTCTCTGAATCAGCACAGAGTGACTGGGAAGCTGCATGTGGTGTGGTGAGATGGGATTCACAACCCACTGCTGGTGAGCCACCAGCCAAACCATGGAGACCTCACTTGTCCACATGGTGGCCTTCATGGGTCCCTATAACCCACACACTTAAGCCACATAAATCAAATATGCCACTCCAGGGGAATAAGGACATTGTGTTGGCTGGCGAGAGAATAGTAGCTGTCACTTGGATATAACTCCCTGTGTCATAGGCAGTGCTCTAAGCGCTTCCTATATTAACCCATTGACTCTTCAAACAGGCCTAATAAGCTGGGTACTTTCAATATGCCCATTTGACAGATACAGAAACAGAGGCACAGAGAAGTTACCCAAGGAACTTGCCCAAGGTCACTCAGCTAAAAGCACGTATACAAATCCAGATGCAGAATCCACACTCTGACTCTACCATTCAGTTCTGACAATTAAGGAACACTGACTATGTGCCAGCCAACTGTGCTCAGAGCTTTCCATACAAGATTTTGTTTCATCTTCACAATAACCCTTTGTGATGGGTATGATTATTTTATAGATTTCCAAGAGCAAGACTCAGAGAGGCTAAGGAATCTGCCCCAAAGTCACATGTATAAGAAGTTAAAAGTTAGAATTTAAACCACATGGTTGACTCTGAAGCCATGCTCTTCTGACAGCCCATATCACAGTTAGGAGCATTGCATTTCTAGATAGAATGAAGGTTAAAGAAAAAAAAAAGAACTACCGACAAATAATCAAGGAATATTCACAGGAGGAGAATTTCAGAATGCTTAAAGAATGAAAGTCATTGGCCAGCAATACATAGGGGAGGCCTGTCTCAGGAGGAACCTGGGTAGTGGAATTGGAATGGCCAAGATAATGCAAGGCCATCACCCAAAGGAAATCTGCCCTAGACATGGCCCCCAAGCACCTTGAGGAGCAGGTTTTAGCTTAAGACAGCACTGCAGGGCTTTCAAAGTAACCGTCACACAGATCCTCCCAGAAGCTTTCAGAATGGAAATCCAGCTGAGAAAAAAACTGAGACAGCAAACTGTGTCATTTGACCACCTCAGTACCACTGCCATTCTTTTCACAACACACGGCTCACATCCAAGTCTTGCATTTCCCCCATTGTGCACATCAGTTATCAGATCTAATAGCCAGTAGCCAGTATGGAACCCCAGTGAAACCTCTAAATCCACAACAAATTATCTTGCTTACAGTTTTACAAAGGGTTAGGAAAAAAAGCAGCTTCATAGGAGCTTAGATATCTATAGCCAACACCAGTGGAGTCCACAGGCACACTTTCTAGACAGCATTATCAAGATATAAGCTGTATAAGATAGAATACACCATCTAACACAGACAATTCAGTAACTTTTACAATATTGGGCAACCATCATCAAAATCCAGTTGTAGAATATCCATCACCCAAAAAATATCAACCAATCCTACCTGAAGCCAATCTTTATTCCTGTCCCCAGGCAACCATTAATCTGGTCTTGGCCTCTTTTAAATGTGCCTCTTCTAGATATTTTACATAATAGAATTGTGCAGTATGTAGTGTTTTGCATTTGGCTTCTTTCACTTAGTATATTGTGATTGAGGCTCATCCCTGTTGCAGCATGTATTTTACTCCTTTTAATACTGAATAGCAGTAGGATTAAAGATGGCAATGTGAGAGGTGAGACAGAGACCCCCTCCTAAAACCACATATAATAAGAAAATATAATACAACTAATCCTGAAAGAGAAATAGGAAAGAAGGCTGTGCCAGACTGCATACACCTGGAGGAAAGAACAGATGTCATGGAACAGGGTAACGTACCAAAGCCATGACCAGGCAGGACCTAAGCCTCTCCCCTACCCCAGTTAACCAGTGGCAGGAAGAGAAACAGAGAGGGGAGGGAGTAGAGGCCTGGGACTGCTGAACACTTATAGCCCTGGAGATCTGCTCTGGGAGCACAAACCTACATTGCATGGTGCTCTGGTGATTAGTGGGGTTGGAAAGCTAAAACAGGCAGAATACCTGGGGAGACTGAGATTCCAGCTGCTTGTGGAAAACAGGAAACCATATCTGGCTGATCTGGGTGGGCAGTCTGAGAGGCTTCCTAAAAACAAGAGGCCTGCTAAAGAGTCAAGGATTGCACAGACCCTACTGCTCAGGAGAAAGGACAGGTAGACAAAATTGTCTGGGCACACTCTGCCCAGCAGGATGGGAACTTTCACAATCTTCAGGCGCTCCATACCCCTGGATGGCTACAAAGTTCTAAGGCCCCCCACCATGACAGGCAGCCTGCTGCACCTTCCTCCCACACCTGGCTCGCAAACCAGCAAAACCTGCCCCGGCATCAGGTCAACCAGAGGAAAGCCTCACCTGCAGCAGTTACAAACTCAAAGCATAGAGGCTTACAACTGTGTGTTCAGCCCACTGGTTCTGGCAGCGGAGACAGGCATGGCAGCCAGGAAGCAAGAAACAGCTCTTTCCTCCCAGCAGGCACCAGCAACACTCCCCTGCGACCCCCAACATTGCTCCAGGGGCTAAACAGCTCCAGAGAGTAGAGCTTCTGGGCACTAGAGGGTGCCACATACAAACATGAAACAGCAAAGGAACCTGGTTCAAACAAAAATACTACAAACACTGGAAAAAGAGTCAAATGAAACCAATCTCATCCATCTCTCTGAAAGAGATTTCAAAATAAAAATCGTAAACATGCTCCTGGAGGTATAGAAAAATATTCAAGAACTCAGGAATGAATTTAGGACAGTGATCCAATCACTGAGGAACACAATGGAGGGTACTAAAAGCAGATTAGATAGAGTAGAGGAGACAATAAATGAAACAGAAATTAGAGAAGAGGAATACAAAGAAGCTGAGGCACAGAGAGAAAAAAGGATCTCTAGGAATGAAAGAATATTGAGAGAATTGTGTGACCAATCCAAATGGAACAATATTCATATTATAGGGGTACCAGAAGAATAATAGAGAGAAAAAGGGATGGAAAGTGTCTTTGAGGAAGTAACTGCTAAAAACGTCCCCAGTCTGGGGAAGGAGATAGTCTCTCAGGACATGGAGGTGCACAGATCTCCCAACACAAGGGACCCAAGGAGGACAACACCAAGACATATCATAATTAAAATGGCAAAGATAAAGGATAAGGACAGACTATTAAAAGCAGCCAGAGAGAGAGAAAAGATTACATACAAAGGAAAACCCATGGGACTATCATCAGACTTCTCAGCAGAAACCTTACAGGCCAGAAGCGAGTGGCATGATATATTTAATGCAATGAAGCAAAAGGGGCTGGAACCAAGAATACTTTATCTGGCAAGGTTATCATTTAAATGTGAAGGAGGGATTAAACAATTCCCAGATAAGCAAAAGCTGAGAGAATTTACCTCCCATAAACCATCTCTACAGTGTCTTTTGGAGGGACTGCTATAGATGGAAGTGTTCCTAAGGTTAAATAGCTGTCACTATAGGTAATAAAAAGGGATAAATGACATAGAAGATGGCAGCTTGAGTAGGGTTGCAGAAATCTCCTCCCAAAACCATATATATTGGCAAATACAACTTTTCCGAAAAGAATGACCAGAAGATACAGTACACAAGCCAGGCTACATCTGCAAGACTCCACCATCTCATGGAAAAGGGTAACATACAAAGCCGTGACCTGGCAGGACCCAAGCACTTCCCCCACCCCAGCTCACCGGCAGGAGGAAGAGTCAGAGTGTTGAGGGAGTGGAAGTACAGGACGGCTAAATAACCAGCCCTGGTAATCTGCCCCAGGAGCACAGACACACACTGTATGGTGCACTGGATATTAGAGGAGGGGCAAAGCAAAATGCCAGATTAAGCCTGCTGCCCTGGGACAAAAGAAAAGCAGGCACATTTAAAGTCTTAAAGGGACAAGGTTTAAACAGGTGGACAAAATCGTGCTAGCACACTCAGCCCAGCAGGCTAGGAAATTTAAAGAACTTCAGGTGCACTAAGCCCCTGGGTGGCAGTGCAGCTCTGAATCCCCTCATGGAAATAAGCAGCCTGCCATTCCATCCCCGCACCGGCACTGCAAGCACCATTGTTGCAGAATAGCCAGGGAGCAGCCCCACCTACAGCAACCACATAGCTTAACACAGAGGCTTCTCCCTGCATGCACCAAACAGGCCTGGACCCAGAGGCTGCTCCCTGTGTGCAGTTCACAGGCACAGACATCAGATACCAACACAGAATCTGGGAGGCACAAAGGGGTTTGTGCATGTGGCAGAACACATGCCGCTTGCCTGTGACCCCTGCCAGGGCCCTCCCGAGGACCGCCCCACCCACAGCAGCTTAGGGGATTAACCCAGAGGCTGCTCTCTGGGTGTGGTTAACCAGCAGAGACAAAGGATACAGACAAGGTGACCAGGAAGCAGGAAGGGACTTTGTTTTCCCAGCTGACACACACACCACTCACTGGCAACCACTCCCATCACCATGAAGAGGCAGAAGAACCTTGTTCAGTCCCAAATCCCTCAAACACCAGAGAGAGGGCTTGGTGAGACTGAAATCACCTATCTTCCTGAAAAAGAATTTAAAATAAAAGTCATAAGCATATTGATGGAGCTACAGAGAAATATTCAAGAGCTAAGG